TTGTTAAAAGTAAAAATGACACTGACACATTCACCATTGCACTGATCAACATATGCATTCGTCGATAAATTTGTAAAATAAGTTTTATTGCAGCAAGACATACTTTATCATGTTTTTTTTTATATTTGGACAAGTTAATACAACTGACAACGATGCGGTGCTAAGGATTGATAATATATGCTTACCACAAGTTTACACGATGGACTATTTTTAAATAAAAAAAGGTTTAACATACCAGAGGGACATAAAAAACTCATAAATATAGTAGATACTGATAAAAACGACAAACAACATCCTGCAAAACACAACAAAGAAAACTAAAGGATGAGCAACACAAAGTTGCTCTAGGAGGGTAACCCGATCCGGATCCACATGTGGCATCCGACTAGTTTCTCAAATGGTCAGTACAAATTCAATCATTTGTCTCATATGGTGATCTCACAATAAGAAAAGGAGACGAGATTCTGGTTAGGAAAATTAGAAGATGTCAACAACTCGTGATTAATATTGTCTTTATCGGTACAAGCATTGATTTGTTTATGATAAATCAAAACATGTGTATTACTATATAAAACTGATGGTCAAACATACTGTCAATACTATTTACGTATATTTTGGACCCTGTACAAAAGCATACTTTTCTTAAACTGTTTTTGACGCCTTTACACTAAATCCGTTAAAGGTGTACCGATAGATGATTAAGTCAAAGAAAGTAGGATTTAATGTTAGTTTTAATTGGCTTTGAACTAGCTTTCTGTACCTACAAGTACTCTTAGATCGGTACTTTCTGTCTTTCATCTTTGTATCAATCTGATGATTCAAGTCATTTCTAAACAACTGTCCCTGCCCGGGGTTATTGAGCGCTCACAACAATGTCTAACCCCGCAACTTTCTTTACGTGTCTGTTATGTAAGGGTAGTCGTTTATTTTGTTGTCTATTATATTTTATTTTATTTTTATGTGTCGTTAATTCTTAGCCTATTGTTTATCTCGTTTGAATTGTTTTACATTTTGTCTTTTTATTGTTGACTTTACGATATGCGTTGAGCATTGTTGAAGGCCCTATAGAAGCTTACATCACGTCATTTGAACTCTAGTGGACGATTGTGTCATTTGAAATCATATAACATCTCCTTACTTCAGTGTTATACTATATCTGTAGTATCATGTAATCCCAGTTCGATGGGAAAGATGCGTTCCACAAAGTCATCAAAATTTCAATTATTTATTGACAGGACATCATCTATATAGCAAAACGTGAAGTTAACGTATAACGCTAGCTTTTTCATTCTTCCTGTAAAAAACTCCTATACGAAGTATGCCTCTTATGAATACAGCAAGATGAGGAGCATAGTTGGTGTTCACGGGAATGTTGATTTTTGTTGTTGAAAAAATGTCCCCTATTCACAAGAAATATGTAGTAAATAAAAAAAAAATAATCATGATGATGTGAGTTTTAGATCATTTTTTGTTAGAAGATAAGAATAGGGAATACAATTGCAAAGGGCAGATAAGTAGAATGCTTGTCTACTTTTGCAAGAGAAAAAAGACTTATATTGTATGTAGTCTCTGCAATATATCATTGTTTGTAATGTCACTTTTGTAGTTTTGATATCTGTGTTGGGAAGGAGGAACCAGTTATTCATATTATATGTTGAGTTTGCAAGTGGATTGTTATTATCTAATTCCGTTATATGTTCAAATACCATTTACTTTTTTACATTCTAATTTTTGTCAACGACCTCACAGCCAACATCCATTTGGAAAGAGTACCACGTCTTCTTTGTCGCGCCCGCCGGGTAGACGCAACAGCTGGTAGAAGTTTCATCTTCGAGAATATCACCAGCCAAGAAGTCATCACTTTAGTGTAGACAAGCAATTATATTGATAGGATCATTTTCTAAAAAAATTAATGTTGATGAAAGTTTTGCGTCCAAAAGCCTGGTATCTATTATGAGGTTTATTTAGGCTATTGCCTGGCATAATCCTACACTGAATGAATTCGTATTGAAAATTTGTGTTTCCAATTTATTAATTTAGTCTTACGGTTATGGACCTTATTTTCACCGGTCATTTAATGAAATCAATTAACAAACTGAAAAAATGATTATTTAACATAATCATTTTTTTTCCAGTCAATAGCACTTCCATGATATTCCTACATGTACTCATGTCTATCCATCTCTTTCCATACTGGTTTGATTACCTATGTTGATCACTATAGGTCATTCTGAGACCAAATAGTGAAATCCAGAAAACAAAAGCGTCTTACAAATCGCCAATACAATTAAAAAGTCCTGTCTTTTTAAACGCCACACCTTTGTATTTAAAAGAATCGAGCTTTTCGATTGAGGCTTTTAATGTCATTAATCAAGATAACATTTCATAATGCCTATGCAAGCACAAAAAACTAAACAAGAACGTGTTGTCGTGCTGAAATTACCTCAGATCGTAATTCAAAGTACCGAAAAACCAAGATGTAGGTCTCTGGCATATCCGGAAAGCACTCACACGTTAGAACTCATCACTGCAAATTGTCTGACTAAATATAGAATTCAGTTTTGCTGGATTAAAGTGTGACGGAAAGTTTAAATTTAAATTAACATATTGACGAATTACTGTATCGGAAACAGGGATAAGGTTCTGACATATCCAGAAAGAGCTCACGCGTTACAACACATCACTGTAAAGCTGCGTACTAAAGATGAAGTCATCCAGTTTAGTAGTACCTCCTCAGGTAAAGATAAGAAATATTTGTTGAACGAACGAACAAACACACAGAAAAACTGACAGAAGGACGAACGGAATGACGCACAATGTGAACGCAACACCACCCATACTCTTTGAGTAAGGATAACGTGTTCATCGGATATCAAATGATGAAAAGAGAAAAAGAAGTCACATAAGTTATACTTAACTTATGTATTTAACGTATTCGGCATAAGAATAATGCATTTGTAATGCTAACTTATTTCAAATTGGGATTTATTTTGATAAATGGGAAATGATTAAATTGAACAGTTTTATATCGCCTATTACAAATGACCTATACATTTGAGACTTATGTTAAGTATTTATAACATATCAGTTGTGTATAGATGAGAATATTATTTTGCTGATACTTGCGATGCATGTGTTGTTTTGCAGATAACAAGTGGGTTTTGTTTTATATATCTGCATACACGTCGGGAGATTTGACACCCAACATAAATCATTTATATTTACCTTGTTGGTATGTATTACGGACTTTTCAAGGATCACATTTAATAAGACTGTTGATGCTTTTATTGGTTTTTTTGTAGTTGGATCGCTGTCTTATTAACGTACAGCCGACATATTATTTTTTCATATAGAACAATTTAAAAAAAAAACGATAAATATTAATATTTTGTTTTAGAAACTATTAGCCATGTATGAATATGATGCGATGTAACGTATTCGTCATTGTTTTATACTCAATAGGTCATTGTAGTTAATATGTCCTCCACAAAGTCCAATTATTACATTCAGTTTCCGTGTAATTGTTAAAACAATGAACCAACTAAATTAGTACTCAATAGGTTATTGAGGTTGACTGTCCCTTGACAAACCACAATAACTAATAAACGTTGCAACATTTTTTTTTATATTAACAAATTTACATGTTTGTACCAATTAACCGGATATGAATTCTTCCTTAAATGTAGTGTCAACAGAACTGAATAAAATACGAGTTTTATTTAGTTCAACCTTTACTTTTTATTGGGAGGATAAGTCAACTTGCTCAAGTCATTTTTGGTTTTAACAAACTGACAATACAATGTATAAACAGATAATTCAGATTCTACATTTACCATGACTTAAAAATGATTCTTAAATGCCGAACATCATCGAAACATAAGCAATATATCTTATTATTTTTGTCATATCACAGAACGCCTATTCAAATATATAAACAAACTTGTTAACTATGAACAACTCGAACTTAAAATGTATTTAAGTCGAATTAGAAGTCTGCCTGATGTGTAATTAAGGAAGCCAATACAAAATTGAAACTTTGTGGTGTTCAGTGAGTGACTGTGTTTGGTTCAATTGTTGTATAAGTGTGTTCAAATTTCAGTTCAGTCGTTGTTGAAATGTTGATATATTTTTATTGAAGTTTTGTTATACAAAGAAATCCAACTCATTTGCATGGAATATGCTAAGACACATTCTATTATATCCAATTGTAAGTTCATATTCTTCATGCTAGAGCAGAGAAAAAATAGATTGTACTTCGAATTTACAACATTTCAATAAAAGGTTTCTCGTACCTTTTTTTTTCAATAAAAGCTATCGCCACAAATATTCTTTCAAAAGAGGGACGAAAGATACCAGAGGGACAGTCAAACTCATAGATCGAAAACAAACTGACAACGTCATGGCCAAAAATAAAAAGACAAACAGACAAATAATAGTACAGATGACACAACATAGAAAACTAAAGACTAAGCAACACGAACCCCACCAAAAACTGGGGGTGATATCAGGTGCTCCGGAAGGGTAAGCTGATCCTGCTCCACATGTGGCACCCGTCGAGTTGCTTATGTTATTACAAATCCGGTAAATAGTCTAATTCGGTAAGTCACATTCGTGAAAAGGGAAGGGTATTGTAGTTACCACATAAGGAACATATCCGATATCATCTGTGAAACGGTTATTCCATAACGGTCAACAAACTCGTGATGGCGTCCGTAAAATGTACGAAAGGGATGACTTCAACTTCACCATTTGGAACTCTTGGTTTAATAGCTTCCTTGTGAGCAGCAATCCTCTATCAAGGAAATCATGATAGGAAACACAAGCCCGGGAATATCGTATCAATTGGGAGATATATACTCCGTATTCAAAGTTATAATATCTAATTCTTTCTTTTCTTGAAGTGTGTTTCCCTATATGTTTACCTTATAAAGGTGAATTCTACCCAACTCGTATTTTAGGAAACATGTCAGTAACAAAATTGTCAAATAGCACTTTGAAAACAACATTAGTACGAATTTAGTTTAGACTATGTAACCGCCTAACAATGTGTAAATTATAAGAGTTTCTAAATACAACATGTCTATATGACGTGATTGTGGATATATTCCTATGTACGTAATGAATACTTCATTGTTTTAATTTGCACATTCGTTTATAACCAGCATATGTCCCTTATTCATCATTATAAATTATAAATAATTTGAGTATTATAATTTTGACTGGAATGACTTGCTTTTTTACAGTTCCAACACATTGTTTAATAAATGAAACAAATCTCCTTTAATAAAATTTTGACAGCTATCTGCAAGATTTGATGAACTGGCGGGTTTTTTTTTGCAATGAAACCTTACACAATATCACACACCTATACCCCCCCCCCCTCCAAAAAAAAAAAATTTGACCCCCAAAAAATTACCCTCATTTCAAGTAAAAGAGCCCTAAATTTTCATAAAAAAAAAAGCAAAAAAAAACGCAAAAACACCAAAATTTTCTTACTCCCAAAAAAATTTTTTTTTTACTTTGGAAAAAAACGTTATTAAAAACACCCAAAAAACAACAAAAAAATTCCAAAAAAAAAATAAATAAAAAAACCGGGAGAACAGGCGAAGAAAGAATTCTGTGGGATTTAAGAGAAAAAATAATTTCCCCAGTGCGCCCCAACTACTCCGTCACAAGAAGTTTGATATGTATGTGATATTGTATTCCATATAAGGAGTGATCATACATGATCAGTAGGTGGGACAACTCTTTACTATTGATTTTCTTATTCCATATAAGGAGTGATCATACATGATCAGTAGGTGGGACATAGTAACGGTTATTCATAACCGGGTAACTTTTAGTGGATGTGACAGTTCTAACTTTGAACAGTGATATTATGTTTATAGTGTTTGATTTGTATGTATTCATTGCACTTTTGTTTTCAAATTAAAATTTTGAAACTGATTATTGTTTTGGTAATAAATTAACCGTAAGTAAAGGAGGAGCGAAAAACCAAAGGGACGTTATATCTCATAAGTAAAAAGTAAATCGACAAAGCCATGGCTAAAAAAGAAACAGACAAACAGGCAAACAACAGAACACAAAATACAACACAGAAAAAAAACCTAAAGACTGAGAAACACGAACCCCACCAAAAACCGGGGGTGATCTCAGGTGCTCTGGAAGGGTAAGCGGACCATGTTCCACATGTGGTACCTTTCATTTAGAAAGATTTAAAACTTAGTCATCATTAATTCTTGTTTATAGAAAGCACCTGTTATTTCGTCGCCTTTTAAATCAATTATTTTATAAGTAAAAGGAATTGTATTTAAAACTTTTTCAATTACAAATATTTCTTTAGTCCAACGAGTAGTATAACCCTTTTCAAATTTACCCTTCTTTTTTGTTATTCTTACTCTAGTACCTACTTCGAATTTAGGTTTTTTAATTTTCTCTTCTTTTTCTGGATATAAATTTTTATACACTGTTAATTCATTTTTTAATTTACTTGCTTCAACAGGTGTCATTTTAATTGAAGAATGTACTGTATTATTATAATTTTTAACTAATTTATCTAATATATCATAATATTTTAAAGTTTCATTAGCAGTAAAGTATTTATACATATGTTGTTTCATTGTTCCTATCCATCGTTCCACTACACTGGATTTTTCTTCATTCTCAGTTGAATATAACTTTATGTTATTATCTTTTAACAATTCTTTTACTTGTCGATTATAAAATTCGGATCCTTTATCTGACCAAATATATATTGGTTTTCTTTCTTTAAATAATGTTTTAAATGCTTCACTCACTGCTACTCCTGTTTTATTTTTCAATGGAATCAACCAACCATATTTACTAAAAACATCTATAACTGCTAATAAATATTTATAGTGTTTATTTTGTTTTGAATATTGTTGTATATCTATCAAATCAACTGCCCATGTTTGATCTATTGAATTAACATAAACACGTCTTTTAGGAAAAGATTTTATAACTCTATGATGTAATTCATCTGCTAATTTATTTGTTAGATTTGTTTTAGACATTTTTAAGTAACTAAAATGTTTTCTTAAAAAATGGAGGCAAAAAAGGATAAAATTTTATCCAAGCGAGGAGATTCATATAAACTTGTTTTGACAAAAGAATATAAACATAAAGCAAGTATTTATGTATTTAATTATAAAATTAGTCTAAAGGATGAAAAACAAGAAACATTTACAAATGCTTTTGACCACATGGTAAACTATTCCATAAAAGATTACCCTAATGGAAGAATTAAAATAGTACCTATTCATGAAATCATAATTACTAAACATAAAAGCTGGCCTATAAGAACATATAATACAGTTAAAAAGTTATTCATGGATCAAATGGAAAGATTATTAAATAGTGCTGAAGAATTAAATTTAGAAGAAGTTATTTTTGAAGTTACTATTATACCCAATAAAAGAGGAAAAGGTAAAGCTTTAAAAATATTAGATACCATAAATAAAAGAAGTATTATCAAAATAAAAAATGATGATACAATATGTTTATCAAGGGCAATTGTAACTTTTTTGGCTTCAAATAAGTTATTAAAAGATTTTACAGATTCTCAATTAAAACACATTAAAGAGGGTAGACCATTACAAAAAAAATTAGCTGAAGATTTGCATGAACGATCAGGAGTAGAAATAAAAGAAAAAGGAAATGATTTTGAAGATTTAAAAGTTTTTGAAAATTATCTTAATATTAGGATAATTGTTTTTACATCAAATAGTGCAGAATATATTTTATATGGTGGCAATGAAGAATATAATAAACAAATATATTTATATTATCATTATGAACACTTTGACACTATAACAAATATAACAGGATTTTTAGCTAAACGTAGGTTTTGTAAAGTATGTTTAATTGGTTATACTGAACAACATACATGCAAAGATAATACAGTAACAACTATCAGAAAACAACATATTTGTGATAAATGTAACAAAACATATACAGGTAAAAATCACAAATGTGGTGAAAAAATATGTTTAATATGTTATGAAAAATACACGGAAAGTAATGAAGAACACTTATGTTATATGAAACCATCAGTACCAAAACAAGTAAAAAATAATAAATATATATATTTTGATTTTGAAGCAAATCAAGAAACAGGAATACATATAATGAATTTTTGTATAGCTTACGATTTAGAAAATATTTATTGTTTTAAAAATAACTATGTAAAAGTATTTAAATGTGATTTCAATATTGATAATTTAAACTTGTTAGAATTAGACATAGATGATTGTTTTAGTGATGTAGAAAAAATTAAATATGAAACAAATTCTGTAATAGACAACTTTTGTAAATATTTCATAAGAGATAAATTTAAAGACTACACTTTTATTTCACATTATGGAAAAGGTTATGATATGCAACCGATTTTAGGATACATTGTTAAAAATAAAATTGAACATAACATAATTTCTTCTGGACTAAAATTAACAGCTATATTTATTAAAGGAATAAATTTAAGATTCATAGATTCTATAAATTTTACATTATGTGGATTAGCTGCTTTCCCAAAAACATTTGGATTTGTGGGTAACAAAGGTTATTTTCCACATTATTTTAATACAACAGAAAACCAAAAATACAAAAGTAAATATCCTGATAAAAAATATTATGGTTTTGATACTATGACTACCAAAAATAAAAAAGAATTTGACAAATGGTATGAAACAAAAAAAGATAAAAAATTTGAATTCGAAAAAGAAATATTTTACTATTGTTTTTTGGATGTTTTAATTTTGTCAAAAGGTTGTACATTGTATAAACAATTATTTTTAAATATAACCAATAATTGTATCGATCCATTTCAATATATTACAATTGCTCAATGTTGTACAAAAATATTTAAAACATTAATGTTGACAAATGAAACAATTGGAATTCACAAAAAGATGACAATTAAAGAAGTACATTCACAAAAATCAATACAATGGTTAGAGTATATTTCTTTAGAATATAATATAATGATTCAACATGCTAAAAGGGGAGGTGAAAAGAAATTATTCATTAATAATAAATGTTATAAAGTCGATGGTTATTATTATGATAGAGAAAATAAAATGCGTAATGTTTATGAATTTTTTGGATGTTATTGGCATGGATGTACAAAATGTTATAGTCCTGAAGAAATATGTAAAAAAGATAGAAATAAAAAAACTATGAAAGAGTTATATGACCAAACTGAAGAAAGACTTAAAACTATTGAAGATTATCTAAAACCAAATGTAAAAATTCATACAATATGGGAATGTGAGTTTGATCAACAAAAATATCCTGAAGTTGATCCACATTTAAAACCTATTGATAAAAGAGATGCATTTTATGGAGGAAGAACAGAAACTATTCAATTATACAATAATCTTTCTGATTTAAAAGGTAGATATGTAGATTTTTGTTCTCTGTACCCATCAGTAAATAAATATTGTAAATACCCTATAGGACATCCTATTACATATACAGATATTTCTGTAAATAATTATATAAAAAATAATTATTTTGGAATAATGAAATGTAAAATATTACCACCTAAAGGATTGTATCACCCTGTTTTACCTTATAAACAATTAACTAGTGATAATACACATAAATTACTTGGATTATGTAGAACATGTATGAATAAAATATCTTTTAAATGTAAACATATAGATTATCCTACTTTAAATAAACATGATAAAATACATGAAATAAAAAGATGTAAAGAATGTAAAAATATTAAAAATGAAAAATGTATACATTCTGATGAGGAAAGAGTTATAGTAGGTACATGGTCTACAATAGAAATAGATAAAGCAATAGAAAAAGGTTATGAATTACAAAAAATATATGAACTAGAACATTTTGAAAAAACATCTACAGATATATTTAAACTTTATGTAGATACGTTTATGAAATATAAACAAGAAGCTTCAGGATGTAAATGTGATCCTAAATATTGTAAAAATGATTGTAAAAACGATAAAGAATGTAAAAAAAAAATACAATACATTATAGATAATACTGCTTATGATCTAGATATTGACAAAGTTAAGTACAATTCAGGATTAAGATTTATAGCTAAAATATGTTTAAATAATTTATGGGGACATTTTGGTATGAGAGATAATTTTACACAAAAAGAATATTGTTTTACTTTAGAACATATAACTAAAATAGTATTTAATGAAAAATATAAAGATATAAGTACTATGATATTAGATGAAGATATTGTTTTAACAGAATATAAAAATAAAGAAGAATATTCTAAACCTAATCCAAGTGTAAATGTTTATATAGCTTTATTTACAACAGCACATGCTAGATTAAAATTATAT